CCCTGACCGTCCTCTCCCCCCCTCCCCCCCTTTTTCCCGCCCACACACACTCCCAGGCCTCCCTGATCCGCCTGCTGCCGGCCGACGGGCGCCGGCACCAGCTGCGCATCCACTGCTCGGAGGCCCTGGGCGCGCCGATCCTCGGCGACTCGCGCTACGGCGTCAGCCGGGTCCTCCAGTCGTTGGAGGAGGCCGCCCGGGCCGGGCTCCTGGCACAGGACCCCCTCGGGCCCGAGGGCCACGACCCGGCCGACGCCTCGGGCCAGGCGGCCTCGGCGCAGCTGGTCCCCGGCGTGGGCTACCTGTGGATGATGTCGCTGACGGAGCGCGAGCGGCAGAACTTGAATGCTCGGTTCGCGCCCGAGGTGCCGGCGGCTGCCGGGGCCACCCCCGGGCCCGCCGGGCCGGGCACCACCGCCGCCAAGGCACCGCCCGGCATGGGGCCCTCCTCGGGCCCCGGGCCCCGGGCGGCCCCCTCGCCCTGGGGCGCGGACGTGTCCGACGGCGAGGATGACCCCGGCCCTGGCGAGGGCGGCGGCGGCGGCGGCGACTGGCAGGACCCCGGCGCCAGCGACACCGACGACCAGTCGCCCTTCGACCCGCTGGCCCAGGTGGCCAGCATGTCGGACATCCGGCCCAACCATGCGGCCTTCGCGCGTGCCTCGGCACCGGGGGCCGCCGGGGCGGCCGGGCCCGGCGCCAGCGCCCCGGCCGACGCGCACCGCTTCCTGCCCGGGCTGCCGCTGCACCTGCACCTGCGGTCCATCCGCCTGGCGCACTGGCGCCCGGGCGAGGATCTCGTCATCGAGGCGCCGCTGCCGGCGCACATGGTCCGCACCATGCGCCGGGCCGGGCTCGACCTGCCGGACGCCTTTGGCGGGCTCTTCGGCAAGCGCCGGGCCGATTCGCACGTCACCGGCTTCGGCGGGGCCCACGGGTCCGGCGACCCGAACCGGGTGGACCTGCGCGAGTTGCCCCCGGGGGCCGACCTGCCGGCGGTGGTGCGCGGCGGCGGGGCCCGCCTCGTCCCGGCCCTCGAGCCGTACGAGCACTTCCTGGCCGGGCACGGGCTGGAGCGGCGCGCGAAGTGAGTGGTCACGTGGCGGCCGCGGCGTAACTGTTTTTCGAACTCCCCGCCCCGATCGCCCCCGCCCTGGTGCGACGCCCGCCTCGGCTGTCTGCGCCCCGTGCGCGCGTTTCCCGTGTGCCAGCGCCACGACGCCCTGGGCCCTTCCGGCGCGACACGCGCGCGCGCGCGCGCGCGGCCGAGAACCTCCCACAAATATAGACACCAATAGATTGCTGTGTGTGTGTTTTCCCCCGTCCCTTCTGACGCGTCCTGGTGGGGGGGGGGGGGGGGGGGGGCCCGGGGGAGCGGGGCAGATCGCGCCCGCCAGCCAGCCGGGCCGGGGCGCCCTCCTTCCTGCGGCCCTCGCCGATCGCCGGGATGGGGCGGCGATCGCCCCCTCTCTTCACGCGGCATGTAGCCCGGGCCGGGCCCCGGCCGTGTCCACCACCCACCCGCCCCCCCCTCCCTCCTCGCTGGCTTTTCGGTCTTTTTTTTTTTTTTCCTCCCCTCGCCCGGCGCCCACCCTTCCCCCGGCCCGGATGTCCTACACCGAGCAGGACCTGGCGCGGCTGGATGGCCCGCTGCGGCTGGTCTGGCAGGCGTCGCACGCGCCGCTGGCTCGGTCCGCGGCGCCGGGCGACTCGTCCGGCACCACGGCCGCCCTGCAGCCGCGTCTCAGCCGCCGGGCCGTCGAGCTGGTCGACATCCCGATCGTCGTCGGTGCGTGCCTGGGCTCCTGTGCGCCTCTCCGGTCCATCGCCCGCCCTCGCAGTGACTGACACATGCACCTCCCCACACGTCGGGCCCAATGTGCGGCCTCCCGAAGATCTGCTGATCGACTGGACCGCCGGGGCCGGGGCCGAGTACTGTGCGCAGCTGGCGCCGCCGCTCCCCGGCCCGGCAGCCCTGTCCCTGCGCTTTTTGGCCTTCCTGCTGCTCGGGCTTGCGCGCATCCACGAGCGCCGGTCCTTGATTTTGCTGCGCGACAGCCGGGGGTTCCTCCGGCGGATGCGCCTGGCGGCGGCGCGCTTGGCAGCCGAGTCGGCGGCGGCCGCGGCCGCGGCCACCGCCGCCGCCGCGGCCGCCGCCTCCACAGCCGCGGCCACCGCCGCCGCGGGCCCGGACTCGGGCGGCGGCGTCGCCCCGCTGGGCGGCCCCCCCGGCGGGGCGGCCCTCCCCGCCCCGAGCATCTCGCTGCAGGACTTCCTCAGCCCGCGCGCCGGGCGCGACGTGACGGTCCCCGACTCGCGGCGCTTGCTTCCCACCGCGCCCGGCGGCCCGGCCGCCACCATGGCGGATGACCGCTGGCCCGGCCAGCTCGGCCTCGGCCTCGGCCCCGGCGACCCGGGCCCACTCCTCCCGGACACTAGGTACGCGTGCGCCAGGGCCCAGCCGGGAGATCGGCCGGCACTCCTCGCGGGCCGACCTCCCGCCCCCCCC